TTATTTCTTTCATAGATTGTGCCTTTGGGATTGTATCTGAAAAGTCATTGTACCTTATAAAGGTCATTTAGATTTTCCACTGTGTTCTAGGAATTTTGTAATTTTGTGTTTTACATTTAAGTCTGTGATCTATTTTGAGTTTATTCTTGTGAATGGTATAATGTCTGCATCTAGATTCATTCATTTGCAGGCAGATATTCAGTCGTTTCAGCATCATTTGTTGAACCTAGCATTTTTTCTAACTGAAAATATTAGATCCAGACTTTTCTTTATTCAACTGCAAAATAAAAGCATTGCCTTAGCAAAATTAAATAAAATAAAAAAGATTGATAATAATACCTACCCTAAATGATTGTGAGTTAATGTTTGTGTAAATATCTTGCAAAGTATAAAATATAATGCATATATTGCTGCTGCTGTTATCTCTAGTATTACTCAATCCTGCCCTCAGGTAATTCCCAGTCAAGTAGTATTATGTTTATGTTCAGGTATTTTTTTAAAAAAGAAGAAGTGAGAAGCAGAGTGGTATGGCTAGAAAGAATCTCAAAAGCCGGAAACTCTGGGGCAGAGTGCTGCCTCTGTATCTTACCAGCTATGTGACCTGGGCCAAGTCACTTGACCTCTCTGAGCCTCAGATTACCCAACTGTGAAATGAAGGGGTTGGACTTTTTGGCATTATTAATTTAGTGAGAAAATACATCCAAGTTTCCTAAGTATAATGAATAAAATGTCAAGATGATTGGCTTCCCTTTTCTAACATAGACAGTCAGGCCATACTTCTTATCTGAGAATACCTCCCCTCCCCGAAGGAGTCCCAAAGGATGAGTTTCTCTGTTGATTTAGAAAGTCAATAATTCAGTAAAGTCCCAAGTAAATGGCAGAACACAAGCTCAGATTGGGTTTTTGTATTCGTATTTTATAAACATTTCAAGAGTTTTTTCCTGACCCCCGACCTTTTGCCATTCTTAAAGTGAAGATCTTATATCGGAAGTTTCGTCAGAAACAACCTCAGGGTTATCTCATCCACCTTCTTTTTCTGTGTGGATCTGACTCTCAGCAACATATCTGGCAGAATAGTCTCGTGACTAAAGCTGGATTGACTAGAGTTATATTCTGGCTCTGACCTTAATAGCTTTGAGACCTCGGGCAGATTACTTAATCTGCTTCATGGCTCAGTTTCCTCATCTGTAAAGTGGGAATAATTATGCCTACCTCAGATAACCTACCTCAGAGGATTATTATGAAAATTAAATTATTTTAAAAATGTAAAGTGCTTGGAATATGCCTGGTGTAAAGTAAATGCTCAATAAATGTTAGCCATTATTATTATTATTATCATCACCATCTTCTTCAAACAAGCCTCTATTTGGATGCTTCTAGGAACACTAGAGAGTACTCTCACATCTACCCTCACTACCTCTTTTTCTCCAAAGTAGTCTGTTCGCATGTTGGCCAGAAGCATTCTGGTTGTCTTGAGCTTTGGAGTCAGCAGACTTGAGTTTGAAACCTTAGTCTGTCTGCAACCTTGGGCAAGATAACCCATGGTATCTTCAACGCAGAGTGGCAAATAATAATACTTATTTCACTTGGAGTCAGCAGACTTGAGTTTGAAACCTTAGTCTATCTGCAACCTTGGGCAAAATGGTATCTTCAACTGCAGAGTGGCAAATAATACTTATTTCAATTGGAGTTTTGAGGACTAGTTAAGGCACTTAACATGGTTCCAGCAACATGGTAGGCATTTAATAAATGATAGTTGTTGCTATGATATAATGACAATGAAGAACAAGAAGAAAATAAAGAATAGGAGGTGGGGGGAGGTAAAAGAAAAAGAAGCAATAGTAGCCACACCAGCAGGTGCTTCTCTGTTAAAAAGTTCTGGCCAGCTGAGTTCTGCTGCTTTGTGATTTTACCTCACCAATCCCAGCTCTACACACTGGAGCTGCACAGAACATCTGTTCTGTCCACTTGTCAGTCCTTCACATATTCAAAGAGGTCTGACACAGCCTCTCCCGGTCCCTATAGCTGCACCACTACCACTTCTCAGTGCCCTCTCTCCAGGAAGACAGCTCCCACTTTTTAGCGGTTTCTCAGAGAACATGATTTTTAGGCTCCTCCCTACCAGGAAGTTCCTCCTGACATGCTCCATGTCCTTCCTGAATGGGGCCCAGGGCACTGTAGGGTGGTTTCATTGTATGGCCACTGTCTTGCTGGGCAGACACATGGTATCCTACATCCCCTTAGGTTCCCTACAGTTTCTTTGTCCACGTCAGGCAATTGAGAATAGAAACAGAACAATTTAATTGTTCACTTTGAAATTCCCGTCTGAAATGACCTTTAGAGAAAAAAAAAATTGCTTACTATCTGAGGCACCAGAGGGAACAGCCCCAACATAGACATGTTTGCTGAGAAACAGTCCATTGATGGCACAGCCCCACTGAAGCTACAGAAGAGGGGTATCTAGATATTAAGAGAAAAGGGAACACTTCTGCTGGGCATTGAGATAGAAATAAGAAAGGCAGTCTGGTGCAGACCTGGACTCCAGGAGGCTTTAGGGCTAGACCTCCAACTTTGAGGTTAAACAGACCAGGGCGCCTACCCAAGGCAGCATTCCAGCCAGTAATGGCTACCACCAACCGAGCACTTACTAGCTCGGACCCAGAGGCTTCACCAACGTTATTTCATTTAACCATCACCACAATCTATAAAGGAGAAACTGTGATTATTCCCATCCTACAGGTGGGAAGACTGAGGCTCTCTGGTTGTATAATATCTTCAAAGTCATATAGGTAATGACAGAGCTGGGATTTGAATCAAAGGTTGCATCACTCTTTTTAACCATTACACTGTATAGCGAGACCCCTACTATCTATGTGGCCCTAAATAAGTGGTAGTTACTTTGAGCCTCAATTTTGTCATCTCCATCTACCCTCATAGTTGTTCTAAGGATTAAAAGGAATAATATATTTAAAGTGCCTGGCATATAACAGATGTTCAAGAAATTTTAGTTTCTTCCTCCTCATGTCCCAGCTCTCCCACTTAAAGTAACAGGGGAAATCACTTAACTTTTGTTGGACAGTTTTCTCGTGTAGAAGCTGGGCGTGTTTTCTGAACTTCTAACCTTGCATGCTGACAATTCAGGCAGGGTTCAATTTGGGCCTGAGGTTCCAGCCTCTCAGCCTCTTTTGCTTCCTGTCGTATCTTTACGCCAGTATATACAGCTCTGGCACTATTATGATTATGGTTTCTCCCAGCAAACATATTTACAAACCACAAATAACAAAGTAGAAGATGCCGGAAGAGCTCTGGCATGTTAATTAAGAACAATAGCGGAAGCAGCTGGGCAGAAAATGCCAGTGAGTCAGAAGCAGAGGCAACATAGCTCTGTTTGTTGACAGAAGCCAACGCAGTGTTGTACGTTAATTGGGGAAGTGGGTAAACATTTGCCAGCAGCTTGCCCCCCAGTGCATTGGAAGACAGACAGCAGGCTGGGCCCTCCCCACCGCCTTGCCTGCCCATCTGCCCAGAGCCCAAGAGATACCAGTAGAGCAGCTTTCTCTGGGTTCCTCATAAGTGGAGAGGATTCTGCAGGCAGATATGTCTCCTTAATGACCCTCCTGGGCATACCAAGTTTCCATCTGGATACAGTGGAAGATAGTGTTCCTCCTTTAGCTCACCAGCCTGCCTGTGACACGCGGCTCCCCAAGGGCCTCTTCCAGGTCAGCTAGAAGACAGCAGCGCCGTCTCATTAGGTGTGGCTTGAGTTGAGCAGAGAATGAGATTGCCTACCTCAGGTGCTGCAGTCTGTGCCCAAGGGCCGAGAGCTCCTGTATCTGACAGAGCGCACTGCTCAGTCTCCCATCACACACACTCAAAGCTACCCCCATTTATCTGCATGTTCATCCACCCTTACAGTTGCTCACACACACACAGCAGCCATCATTGAGTACCTGCTCTGTGCTAGACACTGTGCTAATTATATGTTTTTCTCATTTAATCCTCACATCAGTCCTACAAGATTGACACTAACTCCAAAGCTGCAAAGCTAATAGCCAGCACAGCTGTGATTTAAACCAAAATTTCTCTGGTCCCAAAGCCCACTGTTCTTTCCACTAAACCAGTATTTCCCAATGTTTTTAAATTCATGATACTTTTTGTTAAACAGGAAATTTTGTTTCTTTCACTCTTGGATTCAGAAAACACCAACATCGTGTCCCTACCCCCGGCCTAAGAGGTCATAAACCTAATTTAGGATCCCTGTATGATTAGCATATTCCAACTGAGCCAAGAAGATTTTGTCCAGCTTTATTCTCTGTAGTTCATATTATAAAATAAAGGTTTTTTATTTCTAAAACATGAGGTCATGCCATGACAATGACTCACTTTTTCAAAGTAAATATTCACGACCCTCTCCCAACAAGGAGATTGTGATGTGCCTCCCTAGGGAGTCTCCCCTCGGCAAAAGAGATACTCACCTTTGGGCATGGTGGAGTGGGAGTTCTACAGTTTATCACAGATAGGTTTAACAGGAAGGTGAGCCCCAAAGGCTTAGTTCTTACCCCATCAAGCAAAAAGGCCTTCCCTGCTGTCAGGAGTTAACCAAGTAGCAGTCCCCAGTTTTTTTCAGTTGTTTAATCTTCATCCTTTCCTAAGGGCCTCCTGTTCTGTTGGCCAAGCTGAGCTGTACAAGAGGCAAGGAACCTCCTCCTGCCCAAGAAGAGGTCTCGTCTCCTGAACCTATGGCCAAGGTCAAATGCTAGTTCTTCCACTTAACTATGAGACTTGACCTCTCTGAGAGCCCTGGTTTCCTCCCTTATAAAATGGGAATAACAACACCTACATGACAAGGTTATTCTGAGGATCAAATAAGGTAACAGCTGGGAAAACTCTCCTGCCAGTGTATGGTAAGCTCAAAATCAGTGTACATGGAGAGGGTCTGATTGTCATGTGGTGACAGTGCTTCTTCCAGTCTTTTGAATATATGCTTTCTCTCTTTTTAGATAACCCAGCTGGACCCAAATAAATCCTTATTGGAGGTAAAGTTGTTCCCTCAAGAAACCCTTTTCCTTGAAGCAAAAGAGTAAACACGGCCCAGCGGTGGAACCAGCCATTCCTTGACAAGCCAGAGGCCTGCATCAGGAGAAGGGCTCTTTGCCAACACACCTACACGCTCGTCTCACTCAATTCAATGTCACACTTCTGCCTCTTGCAAGATTGCTGGGGAAAAACAAGTAATAATAAACATAGCTACTTAAAATGTCCCATCCACGAGTATATGTTCCCAACCCTTATTATAGAGAATTACAACTCTGCCACCCACCCTTATCCCTTCACCTAGCCCTCCTTCAATGACTAATGCACTGTTAAGTGTGAGTGATCACGAAATAGGACTTTTACCTCTCCAGTGCCCATCTTCTCCCCTACAATGTCTAGGATAGTTTTCTGTCTGTCCTAAGACACCAGGATGCTGTGTATTTGATATGTCACATTGAGCCAGGGCTCATATACCTCTGCCTTTTTATTTTCATAACTGGATTTCTACTTTGTCACCTAATTTTAAGAGGCAGGAGGAAAAAAAGTCAAATGGGACTTCTTGGCATGGAGATTAAACGTCGTAGGAGGAAAAAAAGCATATCATTTTCGTTGGTACTTTCTTACCTCTTTTACTAAGATGTAAGGTTGTGTTTGAGGACTGCATTTGACATATATGCAAGCTATTTAGTTACTGCTGCTGCCTTGGGTCTCCAGGTTCCATCTAGGACAGGGGTCCCCAACCCTGGGCCATGGACCAGTACCGTGGCCTGTTAGGAGCCAAGCCTCACAGCAGGAGGTGAGCGGTGGACAAGCAAAGCTTCATCTGTATTTGCAGCCGCTCCCCAGCACTAACATCACCGCCTCAGTTTCACCTAGATCAACAGGCATTAGGTTCTCATAGGAGCACTGGTCCCTGGTGCCAAAAAGGTTGGGGACCGCTGCTCTAGGAGGTATTTGCTGTTCCACTGCAGCATGAGAAACTGTTTAAATGCACTATGTAAATGCTGAGATAGTGTGAAGAGGACCAGAACCAGGACTTCAGTATCCGGCCTGGCTGCAGGAAGCTGCTGTTAGGTTTACATTTGGGCAGTTGGAACCTCATGGGTACTAGTTCCCAGGCTGCTGGTCCTTCAGTGTACACTGAACACAATTCTCTCCTGCTTTTCTCTCCCTCTTATTCACTAATTTGGACCTTGTTACTTGGTGTTTTAAACCCCTTGTCTATGGCCAAAATCTGATCAGCTGCCCCTTGACCTCTGAGCCCAGCTGTGATAAGGAATTTGCTCCACTGTTTCATCCTTTTAATGTTTTAATATTAGATATTGGACTTCCATCTCAAATGAAAGGGATCTCATTCTGAAAATTCTCATTTCATATATTTAAGAGAGCAAACGTGGGGACTCAGCTCAGAAGACATGTGTCGCCTGAACCCACACGTAATAATTTTGAGATGATTAGTAAATGTGGATTTTTGTTAATCTATGGATTTAGAGTTTGGAGTTTAGTTCATGGAAGCACTATTTATACCTTCACTGACAATGATTTCAGTCTTGGAATGTTTCTCCATATCTATTTTTGTTTCATCTATTGTCCCTATCCTAGGGGTTGAGATCCTGATTCAACATTTTGTACTTGTCCAAAAGAGAGTCTAAGTGCTGGGGTTTTTTTCCCCGGCCCAAATCAGGGGGTTCTCAGAAGACTAATTGAAGCCTGAGATATGCCTGGTCATTTTCCCTCTGCCCAGAAGTAGGTGTTGGCCAGGAAAATTCCATCTATGTCTTTTCTCTGATACTCCAACCAGGGATCTCCCCTGAACACTCTCTTAGAAGAAACTAATCCTGTGTCTGCCTAGTTGCAGGCCTTCTCTGGCCCCAGAGGTCTCTCCAGGGAGTCTGGGAGGAAGAGACCCACTGCAGGGGAGTTCAACCTGAGGACTTCCTCCCCAGCCCCACTCCTACCTTCTTAACCTAGTGACCCCACAACACAGTCATTTCCAATGCTATAGATGCACTAGGGCACCAGCTCTTCTTTTTCCAGGTAGACCTTGTTCTGTAGCTGCCATAGAGAAGCTACAGCCCTGAACTCAGGCCATACTCAGGAAGAGCAGCAAGGGTGTGGGTGGGGGTTGGAGGGGCGAGACTCTGAATTCACTTTCATGTTTAACCTGTTGCATCTGATTTGGGTTTGACTTCATATTGTTCTCCCCTATCCACTTCTGTATTCCAATAATATAGACTACTCTGAAACCGATTTCATAAAAGTTATTAAATGGTACTTGAATGTGTATGGAGTTTACACATCCTTTTTCAACCCTGCTTTGGAAGGTTCTCCTTGCTCAGTCCTATGAAATCCTTTTCTGCAGGCCCCATTGCTAGGAAAGGCCTCAGCTCATTCTCACTGTTCACTCATGTCGCTCTGGTCTACCGAGCTCCAGAATATGAGACCACAGCAGTTTTATGCCTTTTCTTACAAACAACATTAAAATGACTTGCATGAAGTTAGGCTCTATGAAAAACATTAGATGACTTGCGATCACCGCAGAAACAGCAATGTCCTTTGCAGTTCTTCTTCCTATACTCAAAGTTCCTTGGGCTTTACAGCCCAGCCTCCAGACACAGTAAGTCAACCAGCTTATGTGCTCAGTGTTCTTATGCCCAGCAGTTTAAAGTAAAGTTCCAGGGCATCTTGTCATCCCCACCCCCATTCGTTTGCTCCTTTGGGTTTCTTAGAGTATCAGTCGTTTGTTTGGAGCATTAGTTAGAAGGTTTAAGGAAGTATTGCCAGTTTCCCACTGCCTCTCAGAAGGTGCAATTTGGGGGAGGTTTCTGGTTTGTGATGTTGCCATGCTCTGGCACCGCTGGTTCTATGGGACTGACAGGTGTTCTTCTCTGAAACGTAGGCATGCAAAGTCTGAGTTGGGTGAGAGCATCTTTTATGGAATCTTTTTTAATGTAGAAGAATAAGATTTAGGTTTTTATAAATTTTACTTGATGACATTACAAACATAAAATAAGTTTGCAGTTGCATTAAGATGCTACTCCCAAAGATAGACCCACTGACCCAAGTGTGCTAGTCCATGGGGTGGGTTTTAAAGATGCTGCAGAGCTTTAGCAGATCTCCCCGAAAGCATGGAGGTTGTTCATTTGGATGTGGGAAAGGGTCTTAGTTGTCTTTATGAGCAGCATCACTGATCGACACACTTCCACCAGCCCCTCAGCCACCCAGTCCTAGTTCCCACAGGTGGCTGTGATATGGAATCCTAAGTTCAGTTCAGGAGTAACTCAAATAGCCATTGCACTTTACAGTTTACATGACATTTTGACATTCATTATCTCATTTGATCCTTTATAAAATTCTAGGAGAGAGACTATACACACACACACACACACACACACACTCTAGAACACATAGTGACATCCAGCTTGAACCTTGGTTCTGCCACTTCATAGCTGTGTGACCTTTAGGTGAGTAACCTCTCTACAC